GCAGATCAAGAGATGAAAAGTGTTAATGGGATAGTCTGGATCAGATACTTTTTAGATGTTAGGCTGAGACGGACTTTCACTAGCCTCTCCAACAGTAAGGACGCACTCCATCTTGATGCAACCATACTCACCAGATAGAACAGGGGTGGGGACGCTTCTCTGCAAGGGCCATTTTGATATTTATAACATCATTCATGGGCCATACACACTTATCCACTTAAACATTAGCCTGCTATTGGTCAGACATATAATTAACTCACCTCTAATGTCTCGGCGGGGCCAGACCTAATGATTTTATGGGCGTCATACGGCCCACAGGCAGGACATTCTCTCCCTTGAGATAGATATTGGTGATGATTGTGAGGCTTAGAGGCTGACTTATGGTGAGCCTGCCTCTCTCTTTTAAAATATATTTTTACTGCTCTCAGAGAGGAAGGTAGAATGATGGAGGGAGGGAGGGAGAGAGGGAGGGAGGGAGGGAGGGAGAGAGAGAGAAACATCAATGATGAGAGAGAATCATTGATTGGCTGTCTCTTGCATACCCCCAATGAGGATCGAGCACATGACCTAGGCATGTGCCCTGACCGGGAATCCAACTGTGACCTCCTGGTTCAGAGGTTGACGCTCAACCACTGAGCCTTACTGGTCAGGCAAGCTGGCATTTTTTCACATTCTTGTAAAATCTCTATACCATGTACTTAAACTGGAGGATCTCATCAGTTAGTTAATGTGCATTTGTGTAGGCCCTACTATGGGCCAGGACCTGTGGAACACTGGGAATGATGTGGTCAACAGCATGGAGCCCCTGCCTTCCAGCTGCTCACAGACTGCGGCATCTCGTGCCCCCCATGGTATGAAAACCATAGTCTCCCATGAACTCTCTTAAAAAATGCAGGCAAATGGCTATGACTTAATTTATGTTACCGAAGGCCCCTGGTAGACTTTACTATAGGGTTCTTCTATCACAGATGAAACTGTTGGAAGACTCAAGCCTACTTGGGGCTTCAGGTAACATCAAGAGTGAAGACAGGGTTACACCCAGTCACCAAGATTCCCTGATCTTTCTCATGATTACAGTCTCCCACACAAGACTGAGAGATCTAGAAAACATAACACAGACCCTAATAGAAATGGTAAGATGAAAAGTCGTTCAGGACAGAAGATGAGAACAGGCGGGTTTGTGGAATTTTGTGGAACCAGGAAAGATCTTGGAGCCCTGGGAGGTGAGGGCAGCTTGGAGAACCTCTGGGAGGTCTGATGGAGGTCCTTGGAGCAGAGCAGAGCCCAGTGTAGAAAATCCCAAATGCATGTCTGCCAGAGCTACAACTCCATCCTGAGCCCCTGAGATGGTCCCTCAGAGATCAGGGCAGAATGATGACATGGGCTCCAGGCTTGTATCTCATGGATGATTCCTTTGCAGGGCGTCATGTTGGCCAAAGAGACAGCAGAAGAGATGGTGTTTCTAAAGGAAAGCCTTCCTTCTCCTTCACTCCAAATTCCTCTCACCCCTTCTCTTTCTTTAGAACAGCAGGTGAGTAAATCTAATCCAGACCTGGACTCTGCTTCCTTCCAGAATCACTTCCCAGGCCCTCCATCCATGCCTGGCCCAGCTGGGTGGTTCCTGCCAATAGTAATGTGACACTGCGATGCTCTACTCCTACTGGGGAGTTCGACTTCAGGGACATCAAGTTTGCTCTCAGAAAGAACAATGTTCCTTTGGAGTCCTCGCCATCTCCTGATTCCCCAGAGGGCCTGGCAGAGTTTCACCTCAGTGACGTAAAACTCGGTGACGCTGGAGAGTACACCTGTGAATACAGGACAGGGAGCCCCACCAGAAGGTCACCGCCCAGTGACGTCCTTCTACTGCTGGTGACAGGTGAGGACGGGGTGCTCAGAATGACACACCACCTCCCTAGGACAGGGATGAGGGGGGACCCAGAGAATGAGAGGAGCAGGGGTCTCACCTCCAGTGTAGATAGGGAGGTGATATGGAGAAGGACAGGAACAGAGCTGAGGACCTGCCTTCATCCAGGGCTTGTAGGAGGGACATCTCCTTCCCGGAGTCAGAGCAGAAAGAGGGTGAGGTCAGGTGTCTGTCACTTCCCACACCTCCCTGGGAACCTGCAGGACAACAAGCTGAGCGGGGACCCAGCTTCTGCCCATGACTTCTGAGCTTCTTCTCTTACAGGAAATTTCCCTAAACCTTCCCTTAAAGCCCACCAAAGCGGTGAGATGACTGCAGGAGAAAACGTGACTCTGCAGTGCCAGCTACCCAGGCATGTGACAGAACCTCACATGTTTGCTCTATTGAAGAAAGGAACCTCAACACCCATAAAGCTCCAGGGTCCAGTAGGAATGGATACAGACTTCTACCTTCTAAGTGTGACAGGCAGTGACACTGGGGCCTACAGCTGTGTGTACTACCAACCAAAGGCTGCTTTCCTGGCCTCAGAGCCCAGTGATCACCTTTCGATTTGGGTGACAGGTAAGGTTTCTGCAAGAATTTGAGAACTTGGATTCCCAGTTGGGCCACGTGCCTGGGTTGTGGTCCGATCCCCAGTAGAGGGCTTATGGAAGGCGGCTGGGCGATGGTTGTCTCTTATCATTCATGTATCTACCTCTCTCACTCTCTTTCCATTCCTCACTGAAATCAATAAAAAAATTATATTAAAAAAAGAACTTTAAAGAGGGATGTCATCTTCTGCTTCTCATCTCCTAATTTCCATTCCTTTGCCCTTCTTTGTTCTGAAATCTTAATTTCTCATGCTGTTCTTCACAATTACCAGCCCTGCCATTATCACCATTCCTCCCACCATTCTCTGCATCTCGTAAAGTTGTGGTTGCTTTTAACAAGAGTATTACCCAGAATTCTCTTTTGTTCTCAGAATGTGGCATTCCACAGCCTCCTGCTTGATGGTGATGATGCAATGTGTTGTGTTTTTTTAAAAATCTCCTGATACTTATGGCAAAATTATCTGTGGTTACCTTGTTTCCTACTATGGCACACTGTGTGTTAGCTCTGTATGCTGCATTTTCTGCTGCTGAATCTTCTAAAGTGGTCAGTGAATGTCTTATAATTAGATCGAGGTCTGTATGGCCAGCCCTGAGAGGTGCCCAGAGCTCCCTGGTTCCTGGGAAGCAGGGTCGTTACCCATTTCGCCCCATGGATTCTGCCTTCAGGGAACATTGTCGGTGATGGGTTTAGAGATCACCTTTGCACGAGTTGGGATGAGTGCGATGGGGGATATAAATGCAGACTTCTCTTCAGGAAGGAGGACCAATGACAAGATTGAGCCACTCGTGACTGCAGCTAAACACATGACGTCATGATGCTTAGCTACTAAGATCACTGAGCTCGCTGCTGGTGTAAGTTTTGTGCTGTGAGGACTGGTGTTGATGCAGCTGCTGAATTTCAGTGCTGACAGGCAACTCTGATTCTCTGTGCATCTTGCACACAAATTCCTAACAAAAGGAGGGAGGAGGGGAAAAGGAAATGCAGGGAGGTGGGAATGAGATGAAAGCAAATAAATGAAGGAAGAGAGGGAAGGCAGAGAAAATATAAAAAGATGATGCACTACTCCAGCTCTCCTAACACTCCCCATTTGGTTCCCAGTGATTAGAACTGTAATGCAGTACAGCTGAGCACTGCCCAGGACACACATGGGGGCCCGTGAAGGTCACCTCCGCTAGAACCATTGAGAAGCAGGGACATCAGTGGGGATCCTCTTCTCCCTTTCAGATTCCCCTGGTGCCACATCAACAGATTACACCACGGGTAACCTCATCCGACTGGGACTGTCTGCCCTAATTACGGTTCTTATGGTGGCTTTCCTGGTGGAAGCCTGGTGGAGCCAGAGGAGGTCTCCAAGTGGGTCCAGGTAAAACACTGAGCACTTCTCTCTGTCATGGGCTGTTGGAGTGATACGAGGGTCCCCTCCAAACCCACCCATTGCGATTTATGTTTCGCATTATGGCCCAGATGGAATGTTCCTCATCCGGTGTGACCGTTCTGTTCATTGTAAGGACATTTAGTATCTCTTTTCCTTTCCTTTCAAACAGCAATTAAAGTGCCAATCGTTGTGGAAGAAGCAGAGCAGCAGGTACTATCCACAATTCCTACTGAAACCTCCCTGTATGGAGAGGCTGGGGAGAGGGATGCTTCTTCCTGGCTGAGAACCTGTTTTGGAGGCTGTGAGAATCCATATTCTTCCTTCTGGTTCCTCCCTGGGTCCCAGGTCCCACCTCCTCTACCCACAGGTCCCCCAGCTGCCCCGGAGTTGGGAGGGGGAGATGATGAGTACCTGGTCCAGCAGGACCTGCTGTGTTAACAGCTGGGAAACCTACCTTCCCAGCCAGCCCAGGACAAGACGCTGGCTTCCTTCTTCCTGTGCGCTTCACCGGGCCCGATGGCAGGACTGAGCGGACTCACCTAACACACTTTGGATGACTTGGCAAATACTTAAAACTTCAGCATCTGACCGGGTAGCAAGTAGTTTCATGTGTGGGAACTGTTCTTCCTTGAAAACTGGGGGAAAGATGGGTTCCTATAGTATTTATTAATGCTTCCCTTCCACTCTATCTTCTGCTCTGACCAGCAGCTGGCCAAATGTTGAAACTACTGTATTTATCATGTCTTTTAAATTTTATTTCATATATTCTCATAATTTTACCTAATTTGGGAGAATTCCAGTCTATATTATAGAATCAATTTTCTCTTGAGTTGTCCCCAGTATTCCCGGTGCAGATGTAAAAAGTCATCAAATACATTTTCATTTTCAGGATCTGTTGTTTCTTGTTTGATATCTTGTTCTTTTTCATAAATGCTCATTCTTATTTAGAACTATTATCTCCTCTCTCATAACTCTGGAGATAGGCTACGAAAATCACATTCTGATGATAATAAAAGTGATTCTCTGAGACGGAAGTTATGTGCTTCCCCTGCCCTCTTCACTGTGTTGGGCCCATCAGATCATGGAGGAGTCAGCTCCTCTCTCACCCTCATTACAGCTGAGTCCCTCTTCTCCTGGCTGCTGCACTGTGTGTATGATGAGGTGTGTGTGTGTGGGGGGGGGGGGTTCTGCCCACTGCACTTCTCAGGGTGCTGGGGATGACTGGGACTCCTTCTGGACTGTGTACCTGTTGCTGAACTTCTCACTGTGCGGCTCTCGGTAACCTCAGGCATCAGGAGAAGTTTTCTGTTTCTCCCACTCAATTACTAAACCTCATGCCTCGTGCTGAGAATAAACCCTCTGGCTGCTATCTGGTCAAGTGCCGTAAAATAAACAGAAGTCGATTAACAGATAGGACGGGTGAGGTCCATCGGAGAGACAGCGGTTGCTCAGTCTACAAACACCTCTAGCTCAGTCTCCACCTGGGCCTCACCTGGAACAGCTTTAGCGATGCTCCCACTCCCCAATGGGTGACTGTGTGTGTTCATTTAGGTTGTGTTTTTCCTCTTCACACATATCCAATTTAAATGTGTTTATTTGGAAATAATTCTAAATTCACAGGAAGTTACAAAAATAACCCAGATTTCTTCACTTGGTTTCCTCCAATGGTTCCATTACTCATTCATTACAATATCAAAAGGAAGAAGTTGACATGAATAATTCTCTCTCTTTTTATCTCAAGTTCAGATTCATGTGGCCACCAACACAGTCCACATACTGACCTAGTCCATCACCATGAAGATGTCCCTCATGCTATCTCTTTACAATCACACCCACCTCTCATCTTAACACCATTCTTCAACCCTGGCAACCAGTGATTTCTTCTCTATCTCCAAAATATTGTCATTTTCAGAATGTTCCATGTGACAATGCCTGGTTTCATTTCAATAATGTGGTTTCATTTTAGAAGTTAGAGCTTCAGCCCATACACCAAAGGGTCATGATTTGATTCCTGGTCAAGGAAAGGTGCCATGGCCCCCTCAGGGCCTGTGGCGGAGGCAACTAATCAATGTCTCTCTCTCACATTGATGTTTCTTTCTCTCTCCTCTCTCTCTTCCCCTCCCACTCCCTTTCACTCTAAAAATCAATGGAAAAATATTCTTGGGTGAGGATTAACAATTTTAAAAAAATGAGAGTGCTTGCGACATCAAACCTGTGGGTTACGAGAAGGGAAGGAAGAAATGGGCTGGGGCAAAGGTGCCACCAACCACATCAAGCTGTCCTTCCTCCTGTGGTTTTAAACTGAGAACGGATCCTTGAATCTAGCAGCAGGCTCAGTATGATCCCTGAATTCCTTTCTCTCCTCTTATTTGGTAAGTTTCTTAGGATTGATATATTGGGATTTGAGACAAGGGTGGATTGACTGATTGAGAGATGTGAAGAGTATAACAGAAATAACATTGCGTTCTATTTATTGATTGCTGCACACATGTCAGGACCCATGCTGCAGGCTTTATGGCCACTTAGGTATCAAGTGTTTCTCAGTATGGGAATATGTGTATTCCACAGACATGATGGTGCTCTATGCCTGCACCACCTTTGTGTAATTAATAATTCATTGGCCCTGTGTCAACTCTTTTTCTTCATATCAAATGAATGTATTTATTTGTAATAATGTAGCAAGACTGTAACTAATAATGTAGTCACCAAAAAAAAAGAATGAAGAGGTGGAAAATGTTAAGAATTCTAGTCTTTGCTGTTCATTGTCAAGTTTGAGCCCATGGAGGAACACTCTCTTTTTCAGTCGGTGACAGAGGTGTGATACCATACACTAACCTTTTCTCCTCGATTTGAACAAAGGGGCTTAGCCCTGGTGGGTGTTGGCTCAGTGGTTAGAGCATCGGCCTGAGCACCAAAGAGTTGCAGTTCGGTTCTCTGTCAAAGGCAGGTACCTGGGTTGCGGGTTAGCTTCCTGCCCTCCAGTTGGGGTGCATGTGGGAGGCAACCTGTCGATGTGCCTCTCACATAGATGTTTGTCTGTCTCACTCTCTCTTTCCCTCCCATTGTTTCTGAAAAGCAATGTTTTGTTCATTGTAAGAACATTTAGTATCTCTTTTCTTTTTTGTTGATTTCAGAGATAAAGGGAAGGAGAGAAATAGACACATCAATGATGAGAGAATTATTGATGAGCTACCTCCTGCATCCCCCACACTGGGGATTGAGTCTGCAACGCAGGTATATGCCCTGACTGGGATTCCAACCGTGACCTCCTGGTTCATAGGGTGACACTCAACCACTGAGCCACTCCAGCCAGGTGGAAGTCTCTTTATCAACCCTGGAACCTGACCTCACCCTCTTTCTGCTCTGACTCCAGAAAGGAGATGTCTCTCCTACAAGCCCTGGATGAGGGCAGGGTCCCCAGCCCTTTGATCCTTCACCCTCAAAGCCCCCACTTTTCCCTGGTTCAGTATCAGCCAGTTATACTGAATATGTTTCACATGCCTTGAGCAATGTTTGCCCTCTTTCAGTTATAGCAGCAGTTCCCCTTCTTGGCTACATACTTGTATCACTCAAGGAACAGATGTTAAAAAGTACAGATGCCTGAGCCCCATTTGAAGACTTTTTGAGTTATTCTACTGTGGTTCGGTCTGACCCTGGACTTTTTACTAGCTACCAGGGGAGCCCAATGTGTAGGCAAAGTTAAAAACCATTGAGTGAAATATCCTACAAATACAGCTGTATGGGAGACAGGAAAGAAGGTATGCTTTCTCTTTTCTGGAATATCCATTTGGATTTTTCAAGGTTTGTTTTAGGACACTAAGCAGTAAACTTTGTCCCATTTAGACATCATGTGATGAAACACACAATGGCAAAGATAGGGTCAGAAACCTTTAAAGAAGGCTAAGGTTGTCACAACTGGCACTATCCTACCATAGGGCTTCTCTGCCTCTCAGCCAATTCCTTGCCCCACCAAATGAATGTGAGTCTCTATGGTGTGAGGTTGGGATGGAGTGAAGCTGATGGAAGATAGGAATAGACTATAAGGTTGCCAACTTTCTACATCCTGATAAGATCTCTCAATCATTCTTAACCTGGGGCACCTCACCAGTCAGTCAATGTGCTTTCATAGTGGTCATACTATGGGCCAGGACCTGTGGAACATTGGGATAATGTGGTGAACAGCATGGACTCCCTGCCTTCCAGCTGGTCACAGACAGTGACATCTTGTGTCTCCCATGGTATGAAGTATATAGTCTTCTATGAAGTCTCTTAAAAATTTCAAGCATCCCAGCTGTGGTGGCTCAGTGGATTGAGTGTCATCCCATGAACCAAGAGGTCCCAGGTTCGAGTCTCAGTCAGGGCACATGCTCTGGTTGCGGGCTCGACCCCCAGTAAAGAGTGTGCAAGAGGCAGCCAATCAATGATTCTCCTCATTGATGTTTCTCTCTCTCTCTTCCTCTTCCTTCCTCTCTGAAATCAATTAAAACATATTTTTTTAAAAATTACAAGCAAATGTTATGACTTAATTTATGTCATCCAAGGCCTCTGGTCGACTTTACTATAGGGGTTCTTCTATCACAGCCGAAACTGTCAGAAGACTCAGGCCTATGTGGGGCCTCAGGTAACATCAAGAGTGGACAGGGTTACACCCAGTCACCAAGCTTCCCTGATCTTTCTCATGATTACAGTCTCCCACACAAGACTGAGAGATCTAGAAAACATAACACAGACCCTAAACAAAATGTTAAGATAAAAAGTGGTTCAGGATAGAAGATGAGAACAGGCAGATTTGTGGAATTTTGTGGAACCAGGAAAGATCTTGGAGCCCTGGGAAGTGAGGGCAGCTTGGAGAACCTCTGGGAGGTCTGATGGAGGACCCTGGAGCAGAGCAGAGCCCAGTGTAGAAAATCCCAAATGCATGTCTGCCAGAGCTACAACTCCATCCTGAGCCCCTGAGATGGTCCCTCAGAGATCAGGGCAGAATGATGATGTGAGTTCGAGGCAGGCACTTATGTCTCCTGGATGATTACTTTGCAGGACTGTGTGTTGGCCAAAGAGACATAAGAAGAGATGGTGAGTGTTTCTAAACTTAAACCTTCTTTGATCCTTCACCCTCAAAGCCCCCACTTTTCCCTTTCCCTTCTTTAAATGGGCTTCCAGCAGGTGAGCAAATCAAATCCAGCCCTGGACTCTGCTTCCTTCCAGAGTCATTTCCCAGACCCTCCATCCATGCCTGGCCCAGCTCAATGGTTCCTGCCAATAGTAATGTGACAGTGCGATGCTCCACTACTTCCCGGGAGGTCAACTTCAGGGACGTCAAGTTTGCTCTCAAAGGGGGAAGAAATGTCATGGAGTCTTCGCCATCTTCTGATTCCCCAGGGGGCCTGGTGGAATTTCACCTCAGTGGTGTAAAAACCAGTGACGCTGGAGAGTACACCTGTGAATACTACAGAAAAGGGAGCCCCACCAGAAGGTCACCGCCCAGTGACGTCCTTCTACTACTGGTGACAGGTGAGGACGGGGGTGCTCAGAATGACACACCATCTCCCTAGGACAGGGATGAGGGGGGACCCAGAGAATGAGAGTGGAGCAGGGGTCTCACCTCCAGTGTAGATGGGGAGGTGGATGGAGAAGGACAGGAACAGAGCTGGGGACCCTGCCCTCATCCAGGGCTTGTAGGAGGCACATCTCCTTCCTGGAGTCAGAGGAGAAAGAGGGTGAGGCCAGGTGTCTGTCACTTCCCACACTCCCTGGGAACCTGCCAGGACAACAAGCCTGAGCGGGGACCCAAGGCTTCTGCCCATGACTTCTGAGCTTCCTTCTCTTACAGGAAATTTCCCTAAACCTTCCCTTAAAGCCCACCAAAGGGGTGAGATGACTGCAGGAGAAAACATGATTCTGCAGTGCCAGAAGCCCAGGCATGTGATACAACCTCACATGTTTGCTCTACTGAAGAAAGGAACTTCAACACCCATAAAGCTCCAGAGTGCAGTAGGAATGGAGACAGACTTCTCCCTGCCAAGTGTGACAGGCAGTGACACTGGGGCCTACAGCTGTGTGTACTACCAACCAAGGGCTCCTTTCTGGGCCTCAGAGCCCAGTGATCACCTCATGATCTTGGTGACAGGTAAGGTTTTGGGGCAATCGTGGAGCCCCCCCCCCCCGATCGATCGCCCCGCCAGCTGGTGGTCTGGGCCTTCCTCTCTGGGGTGATCAATAGCAGAGCCCCTCCATTGATTGTCCCGCAGAGGGTGGCCTGGGCCTCCCTCTGCAGGGTGATCGTGGGGCGATGGCGGAGCCCCCCTACCAATCGCACTACACCTGCCTTGGCGGGCCTGGTGCCAGTGCGTGTCATAGCGTGGTCGTCCGGAAAGTCGTCCGGACAATCATTCTGCTGTTCAGTCTATTCGCACATTACGCTTTTATTATTATAGATAATATTGTAATAACTATGTTGTGTGGAAGGTGGGTACTGGAAATATCAGGAGGAACACTTTGTAAAACTATATGATTGTCTAACCTCTATGCTATACACCTAAAACTAATACAGAGTAATAATAAATGTAAACTGTAATTTAAAAATAAATTTTAAAAATATAATTTGCTCATTTGATCTAGCATCATCTGATTCTCACTTCCTTTGCCTTTCTCCCAACCTTTGCCTTTCTCTGTTCTGCATTTTTAGATAATTATTCTTTTTTTAAAAATATATTTTACTGATTTTTTTACAGCGAGGAAGAGAGAGGGATAGAGTTAGAAACATCGATGAGAGAGAAGCATCGATCAGCTGCCTCCTGCACACCCTCTACTGGGGATGTGCCTGCAACCAAGGTACATGCCCTTGACCGGAATCGAACCTGGGACCCTTCAGTCCCCAGGCTGATGCTCTATCCAGTGAGCCAAACCGGCTTGGGCTGGATAATTATTCTTGCTGTTCTTCAAAATTACCTACCCTGCCGTCACCACCATTCCTTCCACCACTCTCTGCATCTCTTAAAGTTTTGGTTGATCTTGACGATAGTGATTTCTTTCCCACAACTCTCTTTTGTTCTCAGAATGTGGTGTTCCACAGCCTCTTGTTTCAGGGAAATGGATGCAATGCCTTTTTAAATTTTAATTTCACAAAATTTACTGGTAAAATTTGTCTGAGATTATATCTCATTTCCTGCTATGACACATGCTATGTTTCAGCTCTATAATATTTTCTGCTGTGCAGTCTTCCCATATGGTTGGTGAATGTCTTATAATTGATCAAGGTCTGTATGGCCAGCCCTGAGAGGTGCCCAGAGCTCCCTGATTCCTGGGAAGCATGGTCATTACCCATATCGCCCCATGGATTCTGCCTTCAGGGAACATTGTCAGTGATGGATTTAGAGATGAACTTTGCATGAGTTGGGATGAGTGAGATGGGGGGATATAAATTCAGGCTTCTCTACAGGAATGAGGACCAATGCCAAGATTAAGCCATTCATGACTGAAGCTGAATACATAATGGTCAAAGTGCTTAGCTACCAAACTCACCCTAGCTAAGTTTTGTGCTATGGAGACGTATGCTGATACAGCTGCTGAATTTCAGTGCTCTGAGGGGGCATTTCTGGCTCTTTGTGTTGCCTGGAAACAGATTCCTAACACATGGAGGGAGAGGGGGAAAGGAAATGCAGGATAGTGGAAATGAGATAAAGAGCAAACGAATGGAGAAAGACAGAATACAAAGAAGATGGAAGAACCACTACTTTCATAAAACTCCATATATATATATTTTATTGATTTCAGAGAGGAAGGGAGAGGGAAAGATAGAAACATCCATGATTAGAGAGACTCATTGGTCAGCTGTCTCCTGCACACTCCACACTGGGGATCCAGTCCGCAATCTGGGCATGTACCTTGACCAGGAATCAAACCATGACCTCCTGGTTCATAGGTTGACGCTCAATCACTGAGCCACGCTGGCCTAGAAAAACTCCACATTTATATTCCAGTGATCATAACTTTAATGAGGTACATCTGACCACTGCCCAGGAAACACAGGTGGGCATGGGAGGCTCATCTTTAGTAGATCCATTGAGAAGCAGGGACATTAGTGATTCTCTTCTCCCTTTCAGATTCCCCAGGTGCCACATCAACAGATTACACCACGGGTAACCTCATCCGACTCTGTTTGTCTGCCGTGATTATGGTTCTAATGGTGGCTTTCCTGTTGGAAGCCTGCTGGAGCCAGAAATGGTCTCGATGTGGATCCAGGTAAAACACTGAGCACTTCTCTCTCTCTCTCATGGGCTGTTGTAGTGATACGGAGTTTCTTTAAACACAAAACTGCCATGCGGACTTATATTTTGCAATATGGACACAGATGGGATTTTTGTTCCCCAGATGTGACTTTTCTGTTCATTGTAAGAACATTTAGTATCTCTTTTCTTTTCCTATTCAACAGCAGTGAAGATCCAATTATTGTGGAAGAATTAAAGCAGGTACTGCCCATATACCATTTCAAACACCCCTATATGGGGAGGTTGGGGAGAAGGGGTGATTCTTCCTGGTTAACACGCTGTGAGAGATTATGAAAAGAAATATCCTTCCTTTGCTTCCCTACCTTGGTCTCAGGTCTGTCCTTTATCCACAGGTCCCACAACTGCCTGGGGAAACAATGGGTACTTGATCCAGCTAGATCTGCTGAGTCTTAACAGCTCTGTGAAACCTACATTCTCAGCCAGCCCAGGACAAGATAATGACTTTCTTCTTCCTGTGCTCTTCACCTGGGCCAGATGGCAGGACTGACCACAAAGATTCACCTAACACAGTTTGGATGACTTTGAAAAAATACAAGTTCAGCATTAGACTGAGTAGCAGGTACAGTCCCATGAGCAGGAAGTGTTCTTCCATTGAAAACTGGGGGAGCCAGCCAGTGTGGCTCAGTGGTTGACCATTGATCAATGAACCAGGAGGTTGTGGTTCAATTCCCAGTCAGCGCATGTGCCCAGTTGTGGGCTCCCATCCCCAGTGTGGGGCATGTAGAGGGCAACCAATCAATGATTCTTATCATTGATGCTTCTCTCTCTCTCTCTCTCTCTCTCTCTCTCTCTCTCTCTCTCTCTCTCTTCCCCCCCTTTCCTCTCTGAAATCCATAAAAAATATATATTTTTAAAAACTGGGAGAAAGATGGGTTCCTATATAGTATTTTTAGTGATTCCCCTCCACTATTTTCTGCTCTCGACTAACAATTGGTCACATGTTGGAATTTCTGTATTTATCACACATCTTTTACATTTCACTTCATACATTCCAAACATTTTACCTCATTTGGGAGAAGTCTACTCTACATCATATTAACAATTTGCTCTTGAGTTGTCCCCAGTATTTCTGATGCAGGTATAAAATGTCATCCATCATATTTTTGTTTTCAAGATCTGTTGTTTCTTGTTCAATAAATAATAGTTCTTAATTTAGAACTATTATCTCTCCTCAGTCCAAAGATATGCTTATAGAGAAATCAGGTTCTGAACATTATAGAAATAATTTTGAGATATAAGTTCGTGTCCTCTGCTCCTTTCACTGTGTTGGGCCCATCAGATCATGGATGCATCTTGTTGCCTCTCATCATTACAGCCGAGTCCCTCTTCTCATTGCTGCTGTACTGTGTATATGATGAGGTAGAGGAAGGTGTTTCTGTCCACTGCACTTCTCAGGGCACCAGGGGATGACTGGGACTCCTGGGCTGAGTATCTGTTGAACTTCTCAGTGTGGGGATCTCTGTAATCTCAGGCACCAGAAGTTTTCTGTCCCTTCCACTCAATCACTAAAACTCCTGGCTCCTGCTAAGAATCGACACCGTTGGCTGCTATTTGCCAAGAATCGTCAGAATGAAGAGAAGTCTGTATTTATAGTCTGTGGTACATCAAGGAGACACCAGTTGTTCAGTCTACAACCACCTCTTGCTCAGTCTACACCTTGGCCTCCCATGGAACAGTTCAGTGATGCTCCCACTCCCCAATGCGTGACTGTCCGTGTCTATTTTAGATTGTGTTTTTCCTCTTCAATTAGATTCCACTTTTAAATATATATATATTTTACTGACTTCAGAGAGAAAGGGAGAGGGAGGCAGAAACATCAATAATGACAGAGAATTATTGATTGGCCGCCTCCTGCATGCCTCTCACTGGGGATCGAACCCACAACTGGAGTATGTACCCCTACCTGGAATTGAACCATGACTTCCTGGTTCATAGGTCTACGCTCAACTACTGAGCACACCGGCCAGGCTAGATCCCACTTTGGTTAAAAAAACGTATTAAAAAATCCCATTTTTTAATATGTTTATTTTTTTATTTTAAAAATACATTTCTTTATTGATTTCAGAGAGGAAAGGAGAAGGAGAGGGAGATAGAAACATCAATGATGAGAGAGAATCATTGATCGGCTGCCTCCTGCACACCGCTTACTGGGGATCAAGCCCGCAACCCAGGCAGGTGCCCTTGGCCGGAATCAAACCTGGGACCCTTCAGTCCGCAGGCTGACGCTCTATCCACTCAGCCAAGCCGGCTAGGGCTTAATATGTTTATTTTCAAATCATTATAGATTCACAGGAAGTTGTAAAAATAATACAGATACTTGTCCCTTCCTCCACCCAGTTTCTCGCAATGGTTCCATTACTCATCCATTACAATATTAAAAGGAAGAAGTTGACGTGAATACTAGTACAATGTGCACAGTTCTATGTCATTTGATCACGTTTAGATTGGAGTAGCCATCGACACAGTCCATATACTAATATAGTCCATCATCATGAAGATGTCCCTCATGTTGCCCTTTTACAGTAACAGCCACCTCCACCATTGTTCTGCAGAAGACTATGAAAAGGATGAAACACCAGTCTTCAACCCTGGTAACCAATGATTTCTTATCCATCTCTCTAATTTTGTCACCTTCAGAATGTTATGTTAATGGGATCAGATAGCATGTGAGTTTTTCCCCTTTGTTTAATGTAAAGAACCAAATCATGTAAGATTTTGAGAATGGATGTGTGTTTTTCCCACTAAGCCAAATGTCCTTGAGAGCCATTCAAGTTATTGTGTGTGCCAACAGTCTGTTACTTTTTATTCCTGAATAGAATGTATCATAGTTTAATTACTCAGCTGTTGATCTACATTTTGGATGTTTCCAGTATTTGGCTATTGCGAAAAAGGCTGACATGAACATTTATGCACAGAATTTTGTGTGGATAAATGACCAAGATGGAGATTTCTGGGTCATAGGAAAGTGTGTTTAATTTTATTTAAAAAAAAAAAAACACTACCAAACTATTTTGCAGAATGATTATCATTTTTTAAAATATTTTTTTTATTGATTTCAGAGAGGAAGGGAGAGCGAGAGACAAAAACATCAATGATGAGAGAGAATCATTGATTGACTGCCTCCTGTACACCCCCTATTGGGGATCGAGCCCGCAACCCAGGCCTGGGAATCGAACTGGTGACCTCCTGGTTCCTAGATTGATGCTCAACCGCTGAGCCACACCAGACCTGGCGAATGGCTGTATCATTTAAATTTCCAGAAGCCATGTCTGAGAGACCCACTTTCTCTGCATCTTTGCCACCATCTGATAGTATGATTATTCTTTTTTTAAAAAACACAGACATATTTCCATTGATTTCAGAGCAGAAGGGAGAGGGAGGTTTCATAATTTTACATTTAAATCTTTAATCCATTTGGATTTCATTTTTAAAAGGTATGATGCTCTCTGAGCCCAGGAATAGAAGCACACGTTCTCAAAATGATACAGGATATCTATGAAAACCTCTAAGTCATATCAAATTTAATAGCAAAAGACTAAGTGCTTTCACCATAAGGTCAGGTAGAGGTCAGGGATATTCATTCTCCCTAGTTTCTTCAATAACATTGTGGAGATTCTAGCTACAGCAATGAGGCAATAGAAAAGGAATACAGATTAGAAACAGAAGAGGTAAAACTGTCTTTACTCACAGAAAATATGAAAAATTACGTAAAAATAAAGTATCAGTGGTTGCCAGAGTGGAACAACGGTGTTGGGAATAGAGGAGGATGTAACTGTAAAATCTCACATGCTGTCTCATCCCTAAGGAATCTACAAAAGGTTACAATAAACAATGTCTGAACTTGGCAAGATAGCAGGATATAATGACAAAATTAAAAATTAATCGCGTTTCTATGTGTCCTCACAGTGAACCACTGAAAATGATACTTCAGAAAGCAATACCGTTTACAGAACATCAATGACCATAAAAAACATAAGGGTCAAATGTAGTAGACATGTGCCAGACCTATACAGTGAAAACAGGAAAAAACTGATGAGAGAAATTAGAGATGATCTAGATAGATAGATGATGATGATAGATAGATAGACAGACAGACAGACAGACTGCTCCTAGGTCAGAACACTCAATATTATTAACATGTACGTCTTCTCTGAACTGATCTATAGACTCAACACAAGTCTAACCAATATCCCAGCAGCCTTCTGGTAGAAATTGACAAGTTGATTCCAAAGTGTACATGGAATCTAGCATGGCCAGAATAACCTAACAATCTGATAAACCAAAACCTTCTGTTTTTAAGACTTACTTAAAAGTAGAGTAATCAATATAGTTGGTACAGGCAAAAAGACAGACATATAGATCAATGGACCAGCACAGGGAGTTCAGAAATCAACCCATTCCTCTATGGTAGGTTGATTTAAAAAGCCAAGGTAGGCTGCGCTAGATGGTGTGGCTCAGTTGGTTGGAGCGTCATGCTGTACACAAAAGGTCGTGAGTTCAGCCCTGGTTGGGGCACATACAAGAGGCAACCAATCCATGTGTATAAGAGGCTCAGTAGCCCTAACCGGTTTGGCTCAGTGGATAGAGCGTCAGCCTGCGGACTGAAAGGTCCCAGGTTCGATTCCGGCCAAGGGCATGTACCTTGGTTGCGGGCACATCCCCAGTGGGAGGTATGCAAGAGGCAGCTGATCGATGTTTCTCTCTCATCGATGTTTCCAACTCTCTATCCCTCTCTCTTCCTCTCTGTAAAAAATCAATAAAATATATTTAATAAAAAAAAAAGAGGCTCAGTATCATACACAGATCAGGGATTCACTCATGTGCAGAGAGCAGGGGCTTGGACTTACACAGGGAGCAGGACTTGGTCTGTACAGAGATGAGGGACTCGTCTGTATAGATATCAGGAGTTTGGTCATATAGAGATAGGGGACTCATATTATACAGAGATCAGGATTTGGTTTATACAGGGGTGAGAGACCCAGTCTTACAGATATAAGGAAATCACTCTTGTACAAAGATCAGGGACTTGGTCTGTATAGAATTAGAAACTTGGCCTTGCACAAAAATTAGGGATTTAGCTTTGTGCAGATATCAGGGACTTGGTCCCTATAATCCTGGTACAGAGACCAGGAACTTGGTCCATACAGAATAAGAAACTGGGTCTTGTACAGGGATCAGGGACCTGGTCTGTATAGAATCAGGGACTGGGACTTATACAGATAACTGGAGCTTGGCCCATATAGGATGAGGGGCTGGGCCTTGTACAGAGCAAGGACCTTGGTTCATACAGAACAAGGGATTGGACTCTGTACAGCAAGCATGTCAAACCCAAAGGCTAACACGGGCCAAATAAACAAGGTTTAAGTTTATGAGGGCCATAAAACAAAAGCTTCAATTTTCATAGAAACATGGGTTTATTTTGATAGAGACATGCTGAATACAAAGGGTTGCAGTAAATGAGTAATCATTGATGAGTATTTACTGTGGGCCGCAAATTTGACATGCTTGCAGTGTACAGAGACTAGGAACGTGGTCCATATAGAATAAGAGATG